GATGTTCCCACAGAGATGTTCTTGGGATGCAGGCAAACTTATTGATGAGATCCTGCAACCAACCCCAACCCAACCCTTCCCTCTCTCTGAGTCAAACACCTGGAAAAGGAGAAGAGGAGATGTCCTGGGACTGAGGCTGATTCAAGGGGCACAGGGGGAAGGATAGCTGTTTTCTCCTTGGCAAAGAAGCATTAGAGTCACCAAAAGCTGACAGGCACAGAAATAATGGTTTGAGATCACCCTCATTTAAAAACTGGCTGCCTGCTGTTTTCATTGCAAGCCCTGCTCTGACTTGCAGAAATATTTAAAATTAAATACACATAAGTGCTTTCAAAGAACTGTTAATTTGAAGGTCATTAAATGGCATAAAATAAATTCCTTTTTTTTTTTCTGGAAAGAGGCACATAATTATGCCATTAATACACGCTCTTCTTCCACATTCAAGCCTCAGATATGCAAGGGGCTTGGGTTCACCTTTGCTGGCAGAGACACCACATCTCCTTTTAATTACTGCCGTTGAGAAGCCTGCTGCTCCTCCATCATAGCCAGGGATGGGGCTGTGGGAAAAGCATGGAAAAGCCCCAGGGGAGAACAATGCAACTGAATTGCAAATGGGGATTTTTGGGGGATGAGGGCAGTAACAGCAGGGCTGGAAATGTGAAGCCGCTTGGCAACACCCAGTCCAGTTGTGAGGATCTTGCCCACTGATTCTCACATGAGATCCTGGGCCAAGCTCAGAGCAGAGGTTTGGTAGCCAAAAGTCCCTTTTTTGATTTAACGCTCTATGCAAAAAGGACAAAGCCAACCCAGACACACACACACAAAAAAAAAACCCTAAAAAAGACACAAAAGAGTTGAGGTTTTTACAGTTGCCATAGAAATGGAGAGAAGGAGCTGATGACTGCAGAGCACAAAGTGAAAGGCCAGGATCAGGGCCGAGGGTGAGGTGGGCTCACCCGGGCACACAGCCACATCCATGCATGGATATTTATGTGGGATACAGCCAAAGGAGCAAGGCACTGTGACTGAGCTTCACTCATGAGCAGTGGCAGGGGTCAAGACCCGACCCAGTGAGGCTCACCAGCCCCTCCCAGCAGTTCCATGTGGCACAGGAACCCATCAGGACCCTGTGTGATGGATGGAGCACAGCCCAGACGAAAGGCCTGTGCAGTTGGCCCTCTTTGATCCAAAACTCCTTTTCATTCCCTTTAAACCAAGACTCTGCAGGGAGAAAACAGCTTCTGAGCCATCCCTTCTCCTCTGTGATCAAAGAAAAGAAGTCCAACACCAACCAGCATGGATCAGAAGATGTGAAATTGGAATGCTCATCTTCAGACTAAGGAAGAGACTCTTGCCAGAGTAGGAGCAAGAGAGCAGCATCAAAGAGGTGCCACCCAAGTCAAGGTGAGAGCCTCTTCCTTGGCATGTGACAAAGGAAAAGGAGGAGCAGGTCAAACACAACACTGCTGCCAGGCAGGCAGCACTGACACTTCCAGACAGAAAGGCTTCACAGTTTGGAAAACTGACTTACAAGGAAAAAGGCCTCAAAAGAAACAAAATGGTCTGTCAGAAGTCATCTGAAATTTTTATGCTGTTTTTCTCAATAAAAAATAAAAACCGAACGTAAGTATTTTAGACTTTCCCCTTTGTTTTCCACTAACAGACTGATGGTCTTTCATGAATTTTTCTGGCTTGGATGAAATAACTTTTATTGAAAGGCAAGAGAACAGGTGGCCCGTGGTGACCCCCCCTCAAGTATCACCTTGACAGCAGCTCCCTTGGCCCATGGTGCCTCTTTGCTGCAGGGATTGGTTTGAGCCCAGCTGCACTCTGTTGCTCAGCCCTGAGCACCACCAGTCTGCTGCTGGGCTCTTGCACGACCCTGGAGGGGACATGTCCAGGTGCCAGCACAAGGCCAAGATGTGGGGACAGCTGTTTAGGAGTGGTGGGATATGGAAATCATCTGCTCTGACACAGCTCAGGAGACATCAGATGTTGGACACCTGGGAAAGGGCAACAGAATGGAAAGGCCACCAGCCCTGGCAATGCCCAGGGGCACTGCTGGTGGCCCAGAGCCAAAGAGCACCATCCACCCTGGGAAATTGAATGAAGAAGGTCTTGGCATCTCTGACAGCACCTGAGCACCCAGACAGCCTGTTAGACCCCTCAGAGTTACCTGGTCTGCTGGGTGGGATGGGCAGGACTGAATTATTCACATTTCATATTCACAATGAAATGGCCTCAAGCTGTGCCAGGGGAGGTTCAAGTTGGACAACAGGAAAAATTTCTTCACTGAAGGAGCGATTAAATATTGGAATGGGCTGCCCAGGGAGGCAGTGGAATGTCCATCCTGTCAGCTGGTTGACACGGTGGGGATCAGTCACAGGTTGGACTCAATGGTCTCAGAGATCCACTCTCACCCTATGACACTGGGGCTCTGTTTTAAAGGGTTTACATTACACCAGGGTTGCTGTGGTGTGCAGGGACAGGGACAGCACCGAGCAGGCAGCAGCAGCTGCCTCACAGATGCTCGCAGAACCACCAACAGTGGCAGGGGAGCCATAAAGGTGCAGTATCGATATTTAGCCTGCGTGGCTGTCACTCGTTCCTTTAAAAGCCTTTAGCTTCCTTCTAATAAAAGAGAAATCATAAAAAAAGCCACAAAGGACCCTTCAGAGCCAGCGAATACCAATGTGGCAGGGCGGTGCATTAGCATGCACAGTGCCTGCTCCATCTGCATGTTGTGTTCCGTGTGACAACATCCCGGAATACAGATTTGGGCCGCCAGCATCCCGAGAGGTATTAGCAATCCTCTATCAGACAGGAAGAGGAGCAGTCCCTGCTGTTGTAAACAAGGGGTGTTTTTCTCTGCCTCTTTCTCTGGGGGGAGTTCAGTGAATTGAAACAAGCTCATTCCTGCATCTTGTTAGCTCCTGCTCTTCAGCAGAGCATGGGTCATCTGCCTTGGGCAATGGAAGAAAAAAACTGGAGGTGTAAAGAGCACCTCAAAGGGTCCTTCACCTGCTAGTAGGGACAAACCATGAGCAAGAACATGTTCCTCATGAACCACCATGAACTGAGCGTGTGCTCCTCACAGGATACCCAAGGGTCCACCCAGCCACAGAGGACTCTGACAGCCCCAACACAGGAGGGACAGTGTTCCCACCCAGGAGATGTGGACAGGTGCTGGCAGCAGGCAGAGCACAGGCTTGTCTCCTTGTGTGCAGTGGCAGCAAGCAAATCTGGTGAGGCATCTTCAACCATAGATGGGAATATAGTGGGGCAGATGGACAAGGGCAATCCCATGGTGTAGTTGGGTGTGGGCAAGGACAGACATGGGGAAAAAACACAGCCCAGGCGGGCGTGAGCCATCCTCACAGCACTGATGGACACAGGACATCACTGTGGCACAGACAGATGTGGGCTGAGGAGTTAAAGCAGCCCCTACAACATATGGGACATCCCTGTGGCTCAGGAACAGCCCCAGGACATGGATGGATGCATCCATGCATCCCCATGGTGCTAGCAGATGTGGAGAATTGCCACGGTGGGGATGAGGAGTGAGGGGCAAGGAGGGTGAGTGAGGAGGACAGAGGGTCTCCATGTACATATGAGCCACTATGCCACCAAATCCAGGCTGGGACGTGCAGCCCCTGAGGCACAGCCACAGCCAGTCTGTGCCACTGCTCCCTCACCACGCAGGGGCCGGCACAGCGCCGGCGAGAGCACAGTGATGGAGCATTGCAACTCACACACAGCCCTCGAAGTAAAAGCCTTAATAAGAGTTCATTTGTTTTATAAACTCCTGGCGCAATCCACAGGGGGAGGTCAGATGGCCCAGCCTTACAATATTCTGGATAAACACTGACACGTGTTGGGCAATTTTAACCGGATCAATTTGCCTAGGAGACCAATGGAGGAATCAAAAAAAAGAACAATAAAGATCAAATTAAATATGGGGAAACATCCACTAGGAGAGGCTATAAAGAAGAGCAGAAAAATACAGAGCAGGACGGACAGATGAGCAGAGACACACGAGACACTTGGACCTACCTCTGAAGCCATGAAACCTAAGTCCATAAATCAATATCAAAATCCTCAGGTCCACAAGATGGGGGAAAAAGTCCTCCAAAGCCATCTTCCAGACATCACCAAGGCCCTGGAGGCCTGAGCAGTCCATTTCCCAGAACATCTCTCCTCCAGCAGCCACCAACCCAGTCACAGCCACGTGGTGGCTCCTCCAGTCCCATCCCATCCCCGCCGCACCGGCCGGCCCTTGGCATCCTCCTTCCCACATGCAGGATGCTGAGTGCTTCCTTCATCACTGGGTGCTTCCCAGCTGCCCCGAGGGCTGTGGGCACAACCCCTGCCCCCCTGGGCTGCAGGGTCAGCGCTGCTCCTCGGTCATGGACAAGCAGTGAGTCCACGGAGGGTTGACAACATACACAGGCGCACGAGCGCGCACACACACACGGGAACACCTCTTTCCATTTTCCAGGATGGAGAGTTTGTGTTTTTTTAATCCTTTTTTTTTTTCCTTTTTGCAAAAAAAATGCAAGCAAAAGAGAAAAAAAACAAAACCAAAACCCAAGGTTTTCTATTGAAGGTACATCTCTTCTTCAATATGAAGACATTAAGTGGATTGAGTCGGATCCCCCATGCAGTGGTCAGTGAAGTCCTTTGGTAGTGGCCGGAGCGGCACCCGGGTGGGATGGCAGGGAGCTGCGGAGACATCTGAGGACACTTCCACCCAGTCCGTGAGCAGAGAGGGGAGTGGGGCGAGCTGGGAGGGCCGGGGCAGGGAGGAAGGGCAAAAGAAGAAAAAGGAAGGTGGTTTCTCCGGACAGGATGCTCCATCTCGTGCCTCTCCCTTCCCCAACAGCCCCTTCCTCCTTCTCAGTTTCGACCACTGCTCACTGGTGGCAGGATTGGAGTCTGGTCTCTAGGGTTTGGGTTTGCTTCCCCAACGCACATTGGTTTGTCTTCATTGTTTTTTATGATTTTTTTGTTTTGCTTTGCTTTTTAAATATATGATTTGTACATATTTATAGGTATTTAAACGCTGTCCCCCATGACATTGGTAAGTGTGCTTCTGTTGGTGAGGAACGGAAGTCACCAGCCAGAGGTGAGTCCCAGGAACATCCTTTGGCTGCAGTGGCAGTCCCCAGGCAGCAGTGGCTCCTCTCCCAGCGCTGCCCCACGTCAGTTCCTCCCCTCCCACCTCTGCCCTCTGCTGCACGCCCTCCCCGGCCCCTCCCCATGGAACAAGGGACGTCATGCCATCGAGGTCGGAGACTGGCTCATCTGTACTCGCATGGACTGGACGCTGTTCAGGATCTTCTTCTGGTGCCCAGCCAAAGTCACCCCTATTCTCAGGAGGTCTCTGGAAGACAGACAGACAGAGGAAGGTCAATGGGCAGCTGAGGGTGGTGAACCTGTTTTGCTGTTGCTGAGGAAGCTGAGGGAGGTAAGCTCAGCTGGAACATCCACAGAGCCCAGGCATGGCCCCATCAGCATCACTGGGTCTGAGAGCAGGGATTCACCCACACATTGACTCCCAAATAGTGAATGTGGCCACCTCCAGACTCGGGGTGACCAATGTGAGGGATGCTCACACCTGTCCTCTGCCCTTAACTGACCTCCCCACCTCCCCAGCTGGGCAGCACCCCGCTTTTGGGCAGCCCTGGCATGGCCAACTCACTCGGACGTCATCTGGGCCACCAGCTGCAGGGAGGTGAAGCCAGCGGTCAGGAAGCTGTCCCGGTACTGGCTCATCTTCACAGCACTCAGCCAGTCGTCTACTGAGGTAAAGGCAGTGAAGTCGGGGATGGAGCGGTCGAGGAGGGGCTGAGAAGGCCTGAAACAGGACACACCGCTGGGGACAAGCCTGGCTGGCACTGAGGGGCTGCCCTGCCTGAGCCTGGCCAGCACAGGGACACACTCCCCAACCCACCCCCGGTGCCCCTGTGCTCGCCCCAGCACACACCCATGGAAGGCCATGAGGAAGGCCTCTCCCATGGGAATACTGCTGTGCCAAGCGGTGCTTTGCAAGCTCACATTCCAGCTGCGGGAGCCACAGGGATGAGGCGTCGGCAGAGCAGCCACCACACCCAAATGGTCACATGCCATAAAGAATCAATAGCAAAGAATTATTGCTGTTGCTTGGCTGAAAACTGCATGTTCTTTGTCTGACTCTCAGGCAGAGCAAAGACAGAACCTCCTGCCCCCGCCTAAGGATTTGTGCATTCCCGAGCCCCTCGGGGAGCCTTTCCCCAGGGCGTGGGATGGTGACAGGGAGCACTCACACAGCGGTGATGGTCGCCACAGTTTTGAGGCTTGCCGGGTTGCGGATCATTTTGTCGAGGGTGTTGACGATCTCGGTGAAGCGCGGGCGGGTGTTGCGGTCCTTCTGCCAGCAGTCCAGCATCAGCTGGTGCAGGGCGGCCGGGCAGTCCATGGGCGGCGGGAGCCGGTAGTCCTGCTCGATGGCGTTGATGACCTGAGCGTGGATGAGGATGGATCAGTGAGGGGAGAGTGGATGCAGGACTCGGGGGGCTCCCTGAGCTGCTTGTGCAGGCAGAGGGGCTGCAGGCAGCCAGGAAGGCACGGCCAGCCCGGCTGATCAGCAGCCAAGGGAGCGGGAGGAGCCGGGTGCTCTCCGGGGTTAATCTCCGCTCTGATGCTCCGCGGCTGCAGTTCCTCCCAGCGGAGAGCTGCCACTCATTATCTCGGCGGATCTCGCCGGAGTACAGCAGTCACACTTCCAAAGCTCCTTCCCTGCTCGTAAACCCTCTGAACATTTTCAAAGGCCCTGCAGCTTGCTGAAGTCCAATTACCAGCCCACTGGCTTTTCTTCCCAATTTCCCTCCTTGTATCCTCTGGCTCAGCAGCCTGTTTCATCTCCAAACCGAGCGCTCCCGAGGCTCCAGGAAGGAGCAGAGAGCCCTTCTGGCAGGGATTTCTTTTGGGAATGAGCACCCCCTGGCCCCCAGAGCAGTGTGGATGACCCCCAGTGCTTACATCTTGGTTGGACATGTCCCAGTAGGGCCTCTCCCCGAACGACATCACCTCCCACATGACGATGCCGTAGCTCCAGACGTCGCTGGCCGAGGTGAACTTGCGGTAGGCGATGGCCTCCGGCGCCGTCCACCTGACAGGGATCTTCCCCCCCTACAGGAAAAGGGACTTCAACTGAGAAACGTCTCCCTGGGCAGAGGAGGCTGGATGCCCATGAGACAACGTTGGGGCCATCCCACACAGCCCAAACCATGAGTGCCTGGGGACCCCCCCAGGGAGTGGGCAGGTGGCACCTGATGGGACGAGGAGGCAGGAGCCAAAAACGACTGCGTGGATGTATCTTGTACCTGCCTAAAATGGCTTAGCTGAACAAAACAAATGGGTTTATCCAAGGATTTACCCCACTGACTGCCACCACCCCACTCCAGCTGCCCTGCAGGACCCAGCACATCAGTGGCCTGTCCCCAGGTCCCTTCCCAGGGAGTCACCAGGTGACAAAGCTACGCACAACTGGGCTTAGTGCTTGTCACAAGTGAGGAGCCACTGGCATTCCCATCCCTTGGCCTTCAATTGAAACAAGGTTGAACTAAAAGCATCCTCTACAGATTCATCTGGGCTCCCACAGCTGCCAGAAGGTCTTTCCAGCCCAACTTTTGGAGGGGAAGGCAAAAAGCAAAACACTTCTAAAACCCAATGGAAAGCACTGGCATAGGAAAGTGCCGTTGGCAGAGAGCTCCCCATTTTTCCCAAAGGCTCAAAATCAGGCTCAGCATCTCAAGCCACCTGCCAAGGCAGGGCAGGTTCCAGGGCCAAAGGCCATGCCAAGGGCACAGGGATGTGAGGAGGGGCAGCACCCACAGAGAGATTGCTCCCTGGCAAAGCTCCACAAAATAACCACCGAAGAAGCCAAGGGATAAGGAAAACCACAGACACGCACAGGAATTTTCTGGGGGCAGGACTGCACTGTAAATTGTTTAGCACAATCATTTTCCATAGCCTTTCCGAGGACGCGTCAGCCACTCTTGAAGGATGAATGGCAAAAAATTTGATTTGAATAACTACAAATGGAGAAATTAACTGCTAGGTTGTTTTTCCTGCCTTTTCCCCAGAGCGAAAAGCCTGCTGTGGGAGGCAGAGTGATGCAATCGCAGGCACAGCATCACTTCCCAGCTGCCAGGGAGATCTATTATGGCCTAAATTAAATAAAAACACAGATGAGATAATCTCTTTTTATCTCTGAAGGTGGGGAAAAGACTAATTCATGCCTCATCTCAGCAGCTACTGCTGGGGTCTTTGAAGGAAAAATAAAAGCTGGGTGTCTGCTCAAAGGCTGCTGCCTGCAGGAAGGGTCTGGGCAAGGAGTGGGGCAGGTCTGGGGGGAACAGGAACATCCCATTGAGCAGGGGAGAGACAGTGAGGGGCTGCAACTGGGCCAAAACATTGAGTCAGCCTTAAAGGCATGTCCCTGGCTTTCCCATTTTGGCAGCTGGAGCCAGCCCTGGCACCTAAGCACAGCTCAGCAGCCCAAGGAACTGCTTTGGCAGGAGCTGGTGCAGCCCCGTGCCGGCACCCACTGAACACTCTTCTGATTAATCCATTAGATGAGGCCAGCGAGTTGCTCATCCCTTTCCCCTCTGATCATCCTTAACACCACTCAGGGGCTCACAAGCAGGACAATGGCCATGCTGGGGAGCTGGGGGTCCCCTGGGGTAGCCAGGAGCAGGGGGAGAAGAGAGCTGCCATTACCTACAAATGAGTTAATTAAGGAGGAGAAGGATGGCTGGGGAATGCCAGAGCTCCCGTTAGGCTTGTCTCTTTAATTTATGCTTGGAACAAGTTTCCAGCAGGGAAAAGCAGACCAGACCTGGAGTGCTGGGGGAAGGGGAGTTAAAACACCATCGCTGTGCTGCCAGGAGTTGCTGTGATCCCCCTGCCTCCCCTTCCTGTCTCTCCAGGGACTCCTCTGTGCACCCTTCTTCCACAGAGGAGAGGGAAGAAGCTTATCTGGAAACTGCAGAAGGCAAAAGGGTGCTTAGGGAGGAGGGAGGTGGAAATCTTCTAAAAAGCAGGAAGAGAAAGGAGGGAAAAGGGGATAATTTGTGGAAACCACAGCCAGAACCTCTGGACCATGAACCTATGTGGTGGGAGCACTCACGAGAGGTACTCCCACCCATGCCAGACTGTACATCCAGCACCCTTCTCCCAGGTTCAGCAGGTGCAGAGCACAGGGAATGCTGGGCAGGAGAACATCCTGCAGGGGGTACCTACCAAGGAGCTGGTGTAGGTGGGGTCAGATGTATCATCCTGCAGGTAGCGCGAGAGGCCAAAGTCGGACACTTTGCACACCAGGTTGCTGTTGACCAGGATGTTCCTGGCAGCCAGATCTCGATGCACATAATTCATCTCTGCCAGGTACTTCATCCCAGCAGCAATCCCTCTGAGCATTCCCACCAGCTGGATCACTGTGAACTGCCCATCGTTTTGCTGCGAGCAGAAAGAGCAGGCACTGGGGTGAGCATGCAGACCCCAGAGTGGGACCAGCACCACTCATCCTGACCTCAGGAGGATGCTGCACCTCCCCAGAGGACTCCAGCTGCCCTGCTGGATTACAGCAGAGGCAAGCACCCCAAAAATACACATTTTGGAGATGTATGGCACACTTCAGCCAGCTCTCAAATTAAGCAAACAGGCTGGGATTTACCAACAGGACACCAACATCTCATTCCCAAATCCCACAGCGCTGGCCTTACCCGCAGGAAGGAGTCCAAGGCCCCGTTCTCCATGAACTCTGTGATGATCATGACTGGCCGGCTCTTGGTGACCACCCCTTCGAGGCGGATGATGTTGGGGTGGTCAAACTGCCCCATGATGCTGGCCTCGCTCAGGAAATCCCGGCGCTGCTTCTCCGAGTAGCCGGCCTTGAGCGTCTTGATGGCCACGTAGATCTCCCGCTTGCCTGGCAACTTCAGGCGCCCTTTATACACCTCTCCAAACTCCCCTGCGAGCACAAGATGGAATCATTTAGGTTGGTCAACCTTTGATCAATCAACACCAGAGCCACCACCTTTTCCTCACCAAACATTGCAAAGAGCAAGGGGCCCTTGCCCAGCTGAGAAATGGCAGCCAATTCACATCTGCCCACCTGTCCTTTTTAAAAGGGCCAATGTCTGCTACTGGGGACATGTTCAGGTTTGCAATCTTCTCCAAGGTGACAGTGCCCACCATTGACACAGGCAGAGGCTGCAGCTGCCTGTGCAAACCCCCACAAGGAGCATTTGCAGGCAGAGTGCATCCACATTTAAGGACTACCTCAAATATCAGGTGCTGGTGTTGTTAATCTCAGCTGCCTTTCTGCACATCACTTATCTTCGGGTGGGAAATAATTGGGCTGTTTACATTGCTGCTCTCTGATTTAAAATACAGAGAACGAAGGAGAGTTTTCACTTCACCAAAGCCAAATTTGCCTGAGGAGGGATTACATTTAAGCCATGTTTGCAGGCACTCTGCCTTGATGAGCAGCAAAGGGCAGGTGAAACATTGCTGAACTTGATCCCAAACAAACTGACTCATTGCTTCCTCACAGCTTCCCCTCCCCAGCTTCTCACTTTCTCCTCCAAGAGTATGACACAGTTATTTAAAAATGGCACACACACATGCATGTGTGTGTATATATACATATGCAGGGGAATATGGCACAGACTACAGTGAGGCTTTTCTTCTTATCTTATAGAAAAGCCACATGGAAAATCCCAAGAGGCTCCATGGTCAGCAAGTGAATATATTCATGGAGCCTTTCCCATCTCAGAGGAGCTTTGAGAGCATAAAACAACCTCATGTCCACCCTAATCCATCACAAACCCAGGAAAGCCTGATGTTTCAAGGCTTCATTGAGGCCTTCCAGGTGAAGGATCACGTGTGTTCCCCCCCAGAGTTGTTCCAGGTGGGTGCACAGCCACACAGGAGAAGCAGAGAGGGCAGGGAAGGATGGGCAGCAGCACACAGAGAGACCCACCTGCCCCAATGACTTCTTCAATCTTCACAAAGGACACATCGATCTCCTTGGCAAACTCTCGGACGGCTTCGTTGGGGTCCTCGTAGGTGAAGGGGTCGATGTAGATCTTCATCCCTGGAGACCCTTGTTACAGGGAAGACAGGAAAACAGGAAAAGGGAGAGAATTACAGAAACACAGTTAATAGAATTGTTTAGGTTGGAAGGAGCTCAAAGTTTACTCCATACCAAATCCCATGAGCAGAGACACCTTCCACTAAACCAGTTGGCTCCAAGCCCCATCCAACCTGGCCTTAAACAATGCCAAGTACAGTGGATCCCCACAGTTTCTGGGCAGCCTGGAAAACCGAGAACAGCTGTACCATGGCCAAGAACTGGAGACCTTTCTGTCCTCACACTCTCCCCTAAGTGGCTGCTATCACTGTACTCACCTACACCACCTCCACAGACCCTTGTCATCCTTTTAAGGCAACAATTCACCCAACTCTCCCCTGCACCTTCTCCTCTCCCTCTCTGCCCTCTGCTCCTCTACCATTATCCTTCCTCTTCCTCCTCCACGGCAACAGGAGCAGTTACAGACCTGAACTACAGCGCGCAGGCTTTACAGCGAAGGCTTTATGAGGCTCCACGCGTTAGTGAAGAAATATTTATTTACCCAAAAAGGCCTCTGATGGCTTTGTGGCGGCTACTAAATTGACAGAGTGCAGCAATTATGCCCAACAACCTGCATGGATCCGTGAAATACGGCCTGGCCCGACGCCGGGACACGCGTGCCGTCCCTCGCCCGGGACAAGGCGTGGTAGCAGGATCTGGCCGTGCTGCAGGGACATGCTGGAAGTGGGCTCTTGCCCTTTTCCAAGGGGGAAAAACAAAAACAGGTGCCCAGATTTCCCAAATGGGTTTGCAGATGGCATATTTGGATGTCAGGGGCTGACAGAGCTGCCAAGGGGAGTGGTGGCGAGGCACAGTGAGGTCACAGGGCTCAGCCAGACACTGGTGTTTTACTGCCACCCAAAAGGGACCTGCAATGCACTGTGGTGTCCCCCTGGGGGGGAGAGGGGGGAGTCAGCTTCCTGTGCTATTTCTCACCCAAAAAGGGGACTGTGGATGGCACAGCAGCCCCTCAAGGTCATCTCTGGAGGGACACTGCTGCCTGGTCCCCTCCCTCACCCTCATAGGGATTAATAGCCCTCAGTTACACTATTCAGGACCTTTCCAAGGCCATGATTCTAACACACCCCTGCTTCCCAGAGTCCCTCCAGAGCTGGCACACAGATGGATGCATGGACCACAGCATCACCTCTGCACCAGGAATCTAAATCAGCTCCCAGCTGTGAAATATTTCAGGAGGAGGCATGAAAGCCTCGCAGTGGCCACTGCTGGTGCCAAACAGCCACAAGGGGAGAGCTGCTTGTGGGGCATTGAGGACTCAGCAAGGACCAGGCAGGAGCATCCTCACCCCCAAAAGGGGCCTTTGGGGCAGAAGTTCTGCACCTCAGAGGCAGGGGAGGCTGCAATGAAGCCATCTGTGCATCTCCCAGTTCATAAATCCCTTTATGGCTCTGTCTCATACACTTTAACTGCCCCATAAATTCTTTTACAAGAGCAGCTGATGCTCCAGCCAGGATTACAAAGGGATTTACAGGATCGTAACGGAGACTAGCTCACTGATCAAACTATTGAAAAAACAGAGGACAGAACAATGCCCAAGTTTCCTGTCCCGTGTCAACACAGGCTGGTTTTTCAAATACCCTCTGATATACCCCAGGGTCTGACCATAGGCTCAATAATCACCAGGATGAGCTCCCCCCTCATCCTCATCCCATCCAAATGAGGGGTTGGGCACCTAAACCTACTCCTCATCTCTGCCAATATCAGCCCCCAGCTCATCATTCCCACATCAGCAAAAGCTGGGTGAAATTCCAGGTACTGGAGCACACCACCAAAGGCACCTGTGGTGAGCTCACCTGCAAAGACCTTTGTGGTCTTAAAATCATCCCAAGAATCCTGAAAACTGCATTAGGCCATTCTTCACTACTGAAGACAAGGGCAAATTTTTTATCACTCTTCAAAAGTTGAAGTGCTCTGCACCATGACCCTGACTCCAGCAGCCAATTCCTTCTGGCATTGTGTTTCCTTGGCATTAAATATCATGGAGACAGAGAAAAGCCCTTCCTGCTGAATTGCTGGTGCTTCAACAGAACGTTATTCCTATTTCCCCAACCTCAAAGCTCCCAGCGAAGCTATGGAAGGGATAAACCACAAAAAACTACACCTCGAGAGACCCTATCTCTCCCCAAAATCTACCTGGAGCACTCTGCCAGCAGCAGGTGATCCCAGGGGGCTGCTGGAGGGATGGCAGAGCTGTGCTGGGAGGCTGTAATAGCTGTGCCACTGAACACATGGTGATTTGTTCCAGAGGATGCTCTCATTACTCCATTAGTTGCTCACCACAAATTTCCCACCTGTTTTGCTCCAGCCTCTGCACTGACAGAGCCCCCAGAGGCTCAGTAACCTTGACAGGGTATTGCTGGCACCCCAGATTTCTGACACCAGTCATCACAGCCCCCAGGTTTAGAAACCCAAGACAGGCACATGATTCATTGCTTCCCTGCCCAGGTTGAGCATTCTGGATTTTGGGATGCTTGGGGCCAGCTAGGGATGCATGTGTAGTAGAGAATGCTTCAAAACAGGGGGGAAATGTGAAAAATCATTCTGCCTGCAGCCTGATGTGAATTTATCCACCAGGCATCAAATTCATCTTGCCCTGCCCCCCACAGTGCAGAAACGTGGAGAAAAGAGGGAGGAAAAACACAGATCTGTCATCACCCAGTGATGTTTGGAAAACAGTTCATTGTTTGCCAGGAGGTTCAGGGCCCCCCACAGTGCTACCACCAGGATGGGAGCGTTCAGTTTGATGCCAAGAGGGTCTAAAGATATCCAGCGTGCTTTGCTCTCTTGGCTGGGCTCTCCTGCTTATCTCCAATCCCTCTTTAGCCCTCTCCAGCCCTTCTGTTCTTCTCTGCCAGGCCGATTGCTCCATCCCCATTCCTCCCCTCTGCTCACCCAGACTGCTCCCTGCCTCCCCCACCCATCCTTCCTCATCCCACACCTCTTTCCCCCAAGGAGGTACCCAGGACCAAAACGGTTCTTCCCACAAGCAAATTGCACCTGGGAAGCATCTCTAGGAGAGTGTAAATGGGATTTACATCCTGCAGGGATGGGGCATGGAACTGGTGAACACCAGGAAAATCCTGCCCCCCAAAGCTGCTGCTTTGCTGCTTTATTTTCATTTGCAGTGCTGGCTGCTGGAGGGGCACCACAGCAGACATTACACACAAATACACCTGGAATTAATTCTGGTGCACAGCTCCACCAGCTGCAGAGGTCTCCTAGGAAAAGCTCAGGCTCTCCTAATTGTTTGCCAAGGGGATCAGCAGCCCAAACCTAGTTCAACATTCCCAGTCACTGGCTGCACATCCTTCCCTGAGCAAGGTACAGGGCAAGCATCAGCCACACAGCCAGGACAGCAGCAATGCCAGCCACCAGCACCCACCAGCCACCATGCTCCCAAAATCCAGAATCCCTCTAACAGCCCAGCACTGATCCATCAGGGGCATCACCTTCCCTCTGAACACCACCTCTCTCCCTTCTTTTCTCCTTTGGGAGTCTTCACAGCATCCTCTTCCCCTCCCTTGTCCCCTACATCCCCCCTGCCCCTGACATATCCCCAAATCCATCATCATTCCCCAAATCCCTCCTGGTACTCTTCTTTTTCCACCCACAGTGCTGCACCACTGCAGCCCTCCCTCCCCCAGACCCTGACAGACACGTGTGGACATCTCCACTCCCACCTATGGTCCTGTCCAAGTGCCATGGGGGCTCCCACCACCCCACAGTCCCCCTTGGAAGGGGAGGAGTAGGGCATGTGCGGGATGCATGGATGGTTTGGGAGCATCTCCCCTGTCTGCTTTTCCCACTTTCCCTGCTCACCTCTGCCGGTGCTGTAGTGCTGCAGTTTATCACTGTACACGGCCTCCTTGCTGTAGGCACGCTTCCTGGGAGAACAGGGGAGACAACAGCCAGGCTTCAGGGATCAGCACCTGCTGCTGGCCCCAAACCGCTCCCCTGCCAGCAACACTCCATGAGCAGCGACATCCTGCTGCTCCCTCTGGCCACACGGGTCCCCCATCCCACCCCTCCTGCCCCTAATCTGCACCTTACCACCTCCACCTTCCAGGGACACTGATCCCACAGGGACCCACCTGCTGCAGACGATGGAAATGGCCACCAGGGACACGATGAAGACCACCCCGGCCGCCGCGGAGCCCGCGATCAAAGGCAGCTGCTCCCTCAGCTCTGACTTGTAATCGTCTGTGAGAGAAGAGGGACGGGGTCAATCCTCCCTGGCACGCTCATGGAGTGAGAGCAGCCTTTGGGAAGGGATCCCCTCCGATTCCACGGGGGCTGCTCCCAAGGTGGTGGCACAAGGGGGATCCAGGCAGGGGATGAGCCGCTGCCATGTTGCACTGGGTAGGATTGGCTCACACACCTTTGGCTTAAAGACAGGGGAGAGAAGATGCTGGAAATAACATCAGACCAATGTGCATGGGCCCAGTTTCCCAAAGTGATGAGGTTCACAAGGTGGCTTTGGTATTTCCCTTTCCTTAATAAATTCATTTATTGAGCAACCTGATCTACCAGAAGGTGTCCCTGAACATGGCAACAGGGTTGGAATGAGAGGAGCTCTAGGGTCCCTTCAACCCAAACCTTTTTGAGGCTCTATGACTTAAACCTGTTGGCCACTTTCACCAGTTTTAACACGGCATCTCAGAGACACAAAATCCCTACAAGTTGTAGGAAAGGAGGAAAATGCCATTAATAACCAAGCCAGCCAGAGAATGCTGTGCCAAGACTTCACCCAGATCAGACATCAGAGTCCACCACACAACGGTGAACTTTGGGAGTAAAGCTCAGGAGAATCTGAGAACCCTTGCCACAGATCTGCTTGTAGGTTTTAATATCTCAACATGAGAAAAGTCCTTTTGCAGAGCCATGGCACCCACAGCATCCATTCCCCACCAAGCACCCCTCAGAACCTCCTTTGTCTGCTCAGCCACCTCCTGCATCCTTCAGCAGCAGGCTGGAGTGAAGCCAAGGTGGCACCTGGAGGACTGGATATGGCTGGAGGAAACCCCAAAAAGCTGCTGGCACCCTCCATGTCTCCCCCAATCTTCCCTGCCCCATCACTGGTGTGGGTACTCTCAACAGGCAGTATCCAGCAAATCCCACATTCCTGGAGCTTCTGTAGCATTCCAGAATTACTCCTCTCTCCAATCGCCCCATCAAGGTCTGCCAGGATGTGCAAGGGTTAAAATAAAACTCATCCAAAAGAAAGCATTTAGCACTCTTTTATCTGTATTTTCTACTCTGCAGTTAATTACTGGCAACTAGATTTATCTCTTGCATGCTGCTTAAATCCTGAGAAATTCTCATCTAACAATCAATTATTATTTAATAAGCTACACAATCCATTCTTATTAAATTTCAATTAATTGCTTATTTGAGGCAGGATTTTTCTTCTCGCTTCTCTAATCCTGAATATTTGAGGCATTGGAGGGGGGTTTATTACCATTTCCTTCCCTTTGGTCACCCAGCATGGTTCTCCTCTTCCCACCCCAGCTGGCACTCGATATGAATGCAAGCATGGGGTGACCCGTTTTAGGGAAGAAGAAACGCTTTAGGAAAGAAGAAAAGTTTTAGGAAAGACAGGCACTGAGGCTGGGAGCCATGGATGTCACCTAAGCAGAGAAGGAACCATGCCAGCAGCAACAGGGAACATGCTCTCAGCTGCCCCAGGGGTAGGAGGACCTGCTTCACTCACCAACTTCTGGATAAATCCTGAAGCTGAGATTAATGGAAAACACTCCCATGAGCTAGTATATTCTAAAGGAATCCAGCGTTTGTGGGTGCAGTGAAGGGCTGGGGCCAGAAGAAGCCATGAAGGTCATGAGCTGGCCCAACACACTCCTTTGGCATGGGATCAGCTTTCAGACGGGTCTGACCATCCCAGCTTTGCCCAGATGGCTCAGATGGACTCCAAGCATCCCAGAGTCCTTCCTCCAAGGGTCGACAACCCTCCTCCCACCTCATCACACCTGGTGCCAGGGGCTTCTGTCCCCACAGCTCAAGGCAGCAGAGACAGAAACAAACAGCGGGGAAAACCTGGAAGGGGGAGATTGAGAGCGGCTCACTCCTCCCACTGGCGGCTAGCGAGACACCGCCGTCAACCACGGGGCTCCTGCCACGCTGCCTGCTGGCACAGAGCTCTGTGCAGACAAGCTCCTTTAATCCAGTGGGAGATGGGGACACCCCCAGGCCGCTGCCAGGCCGGACTCACCGTCGGTGAGGGTCTGGAAGCACATCTTGCCGCTGTACTTGCCGTAGCCGGCCACGGTGCGGGCGCGCACCTGCACCACGTACACCATGCCGGGCCGCAGCCCCTCCAGCCGCGCCGTGTTCGTCTGGCTGCGCGCCATGGACGAGTTGTACTCGTTGTGGTCCTGCAGAGAGAGCCACGGTCAGTGGGACAGGGACAGGGGACAGCGGGAGGGCAGCCCACCTGTCCCTGCTGAGGGCAGGGATGGGTCTGGCTGCAGGGGTGTAGTAGTAGTAGCCACAGCTGGTCTGTGGGTTAGAGGGGCTTAATGAATGAGGTTTGTTTTGAGAAGTATTCTCTGACCAAGGCCGTTGGCCTGGAGACCAAGAAGAAGAAGAATAAACAAGAAGAAACTTGCAGCTGCGAAAAGTATTTTTAGAAAAGTTTTGTGGAAAACAGAGGTGTAGATGGTTTTACACCAATCAACGTTATGTTGACTAATTGTAACCAATGAAGAAAGTGTAAAATGTGTAGAGGGTATAAAAGACAGTATGCTGTTGTAATAAATGGGATATAGTGTGTCTATTTGTACGCTGTGCCCACCTCTACAGCGATCACAGGGATAAAGGAGAGGCTCTGGTTCTGCTTCAAGAGCATCCCTGACACAGAGGATCCCACAGGAAAGGCTGGGAGAATTGGGATTGTTCAGCCTGGAGAAGGATTTGGGGTGACCTAATTGTGGCCTTCCAGAACCTGAGGAGCTACAAGAAAGATAGGGATGGACTATTAATAAGGGCCTGGCAGCTCAAGGAGGAATGGCTTCCCAGTGACAGAGAGTACATTTAGGTCGGATATTTGGAAGACATTCTCCCCTGTGAGGGTGGGGAGTCCGTGGCATAGATTGCCCACAGAAGCTGTGGCTGCCTCATCCTTGGAAGTCTCCAAAGCTGGGTTGGATGGGGCTTGGAGCAACCTGGGATAGCAGAAGGTATCCCTGCCCATGGCAGAGGGTAGAACAAGATGAGCTTCAAGGTCCCTTCAACCCAGGACATTCTATGATTTTATGAAATAGGACCCACAAGGAACTGGGGAGGCCCCTGCAGCACATGCCTCCCGGGCAGCCCCTTGTCCCACCAGAGCAGGGAGCAGCGAGTAGCAGAGGGAAACAATAAGATCATCCAGAGCAAAAATAATTTATGAACAACAGACTCCTCCTCTTCAAATGATTGACATCCTTGTGCATTTCAGAAACATCCCACAGTTATGGAAACCTGGTGTCCCTGCCCACAGCACGGGGGTTGGAACTGGATGAATTTAAAGGTCTCTTATGACACAAACCATTCTGTGATTCCACTAAACACCATAATGTGCCCTATGAGACCCTGCCCAAGCAGGTTCAAGGGCAACTCTCTGTTGAGATCCCCAGCCCCTGCAGTCCTGCTCTGCTGGCACAGGTCCTTGGCCTAGACCTTGGTGGAAACCTCATGTGTCTCCACTCTCATTTTTTACCACATTCCCCAGTGCTTTGCTGGTGAAATCAGCTAATTATTCATACTTAGAGGAATTCATTAATGCTGGCGAGACACAGGAGGGATGGAACAGCTTGGGCTGGGCACGGTTCATCGCAGGGCTCTGGAGTGTGTCCCCTGCAGGACAGGACAGCTGCCAGGGACATGACCAGTGGTAGGCAGTGACCCGGGGCAGGGACAACCTCCATAACGTACCCTGGTCCTCTCCAACCCCCTCCCCTCCTCCTGATGCCATCCTCATGATTCAGGTCCCTGCTCATCCTAGCAAGTGGCAGAGCCAAGGTGGCCACCGGCACTGATGTGCTGGACAAATGCTGCCACAGGGAAGGAATGGCTCAGGTTGGACAGGGCTCTGAGCGACCTGATCTAGTGAAAAATGTCCCATGGACATGGGACAGGGGGTTGGAAGTAGAAGAGCTTTAAGGTCCTTTCCAACTCAAGCTGCTTTGTGATTCTGATCTGCAGCCACAATTCACTCCCACCTTCTGGAGGCAGCTCGGGTGACCTGGTGCCTGTCCTGTCTGACCATTCCCAGCAGAGCCTGTCTCACAGCCCATGGATGTTGCCCCTGCCCCCATGGCCCCAGCCCAGCCCCCAGAGCAGGGCTCCTCCCCCTGGGCTCACCGGGGCTGGCCTGGAGCCCACGGTGCTGCCGACGTCGGGTGTGCAGATGCGGCTCAGCTTCTCGTAGTAGCGGATCTCGTAGTCCAGGATGATCCCATTGGGCTGCTCAGGCTGGGGCCAGGACAGCGTGATGCTCCTCATGGTGGCACTCACCTGGTGCATGATGGGCACGGTGGAGGGAGCTGCCAAGGAAGGGGGGAGCGAGGGAAAATTAATGGGGAGGGGTAGGAAAAATGGCCCTGAGCAGGGGGAAAATCCCACGGCATCCCAAATCTCCCATGCCTGTGGTTGGCTTCCCCATGGGAGCAGCTCACTCATTAGCACTGGGAAGACCAGCATCTCAGCAGCTTTACATGGAAGCTGAGCAGCAAGCCACTGAGGGAATTATGCTCAATTTAAACTAACTGCTCCTTTTAATTAGGGGCTTGCAAACCCTTGGTGCTCCTTCTCCCTGGGACTACTTGCTCCATGGTGGGAGAGACACAGAGAAGCTCTACCCAGATGGGCAAACCAAGGTTTGATGGCAAGGGCCAGCTCTGTGTGACATCTTTTGCTGTAACAGCCTCTCTGGGGAGCCAGCACTCAGCACCAGGGAGCTGTGCCACAATTGCCACCCCACGTGCTCTCAGAAATGGAGTGTGGGAGTAAAAATCTGCCCACCCTGAGGACACTGACAGGGAACCAGGGCAGGGACATCCCAGCCCAGCTTTGGCTCCAGAGAAGCTGCTGGGGCTTCTCTTAGGGGCTCTCAGGGGATGCTCATCCTCAGCATCCAAATGTGCTTCTCCCAGGAAAACAGCAACACTGTCCTTCCACCATCAGGGACACTGAGCCACTAAATCAGCCAGGAGACCCTTTTCCAAATGCTTTGTGCCCTCCAAGCTACACTTATAAGGGGCAGAGCCAGACAACACAGCCTTAATCCTGCACTTAATCTTATCAAAAGAAAGGTATCCAAGTCTATCCACACCCCAAGGGGCACTGGCATGTCCTGTCCACAGAGACAGCTCCCAGTCCAGCCATCCCTGCCCTCCTCTTCACCATGCCTAGAGTACAGGCAGTGCTGAGCAGGGAAAATGCCTCCCTCCCCTGTGTGAACCCAGGGAATACCTGAACAACCTGCACAACCAGCCTGGGGCACGGGATCATGCCATGGAGGGAATCTGGGGCTGGCAGGAGTCCTGTTTCTCATGGTTCCAATGGGAGATAAGGATAGTTCAGCACTGCCTTTGTTTACCCAGAATACTTAATCTTGTATTATTTTTTTTTTAATCTCCACATCTGCTCCAGGAAGATGCTCGTGGGCTGAAATTCAGCACTTGGAATGACTGTTGTTTTATTAACTCCCATTATCTTGGAAGGGGCTGGAAAAATGGTTGGAAAATCCCACTGCAAAACCAAGGAGATTTTAGAGGGAGAGCATCAATGCCCTGGATATCCTTGGTGAATTTCCATCAGGTTACCCCACAGCCCAGCATTTCCATGTTTGTAATCAGCCTTGGCAAGACAAACAGGGATCACTGGGGTACAGACAGACAGATAAGGGTGACCTGGCTGCTCCCAGCTCCCCATGGTGGGAGAAGAGCTAAGAAACACCCCAAAAATCCACTCCGGGAAATAAAAAGACCTGGAAACAAGAGGCAGATTTGGCTGCACGTGGTTCAGCAGACAGCAATGCCAGCCAGGCACAAGTGTAGATTTGTATTCCCTGGAGCCAGGAGACTGAAATATTTGCACTGGTTTACACTGAAAGGTTTACACTGAAACATTTACACCAGGTTTCTCCATTGTGCTACCCAGAGGGAGCAGGATGGCGAAGGCTGCCTGCCCTGGCGCAAAGCAGGAATTCCCATTCCCATTTTAAACCCAGAGCACATGAGCTTAAAGGATCTCACATCCTGTGATCCTCAGTGCAGCCCAAGACCAGTTACTCCCTTGCCATGTGCACACCCACCCCACCAGCATCCCTGTTTGACCCAGAGATGCTCATTCAGCTCCACATGCCTGACTGGGGACAGGAAAGGGAGCAGGGGAGCCTGGAAAAGGAGAGAAGAGGAAAATTATGGGAAAAGAATGGCCCAGAGGAGACAGAGCCTGGACTCAGCCCCAGGATGCTGCTCCCTCTGTGCTGTAACACAGTAAGACTGTGTTTCAAGGCTGGATTCACCCCATCTCCCTTCTCCCAGCTGGCAAAGTGGTGATGCCATTTCATCCCTAAGCAATCTAGAGGGGGATAAAAGCAGGTATCAGATAACCCTCCCACAAGCCACCTCTCACCCTGCCCAGGGCACAGGCTACCCTTCCCTATCCCCATTCCTCTTCTCCCCTTTCTCCCTACTCAGGGCTGGAGGCACCACAGCCACCACACATCCTCACACCCCGGCAGCTTTTCCTTTTGGGCACAGAGCTTGACTCCACACGGAGCTCACAGCAGGACAGCCAAACTCCCTGGCCCCACGGGGACTCACCAGCCTGGTTGGTGGTGATGTTGACAGAGACGTGCTGCTGGGGGAAGGGGCTCTTGTTGGACACGCCATTGACGGCCTGGATCTCGAAGGTGTAGGGGGTGTGAGCCCAGAGGTTGCTGATGAAGACGCGGGTGTCGGTGAGCCCCAGCTGGCGGGGCACAAAGTCCACGTTGTCGTCGCAGCGGGAGCAGGCGCGCCGGTCCGAGCGGCACTTCTTGCACACGATGTTGTAGGTGACATCGTCCCGGCCGCCCGTCTCCCGCGGCGGGTGCCACTCCAGGATGATGGACGTCTCGTTGACGATGGAGATGACGTTGCGGGGGCCGGACGGGACACCTGTGGGAAAGGAGAGGCGCTGAGACAGCTCCCTGCCTTCCCATGGATGCCCCAGGGCTCTGCACTATCCATCACCTCCTCCCTCAGGAGGGATTTGGTGTCCACAGCTTTGCTCAGCTCAGGGTCAGACTTCCCAACCACCTGCGCTGCAAACAAGTCATCTCCAGATGGAGATGACAACTCCCATGCCACAAACTCACTTAAATCTCAAAAAAACCTCCCTGCGGAATGCACACAGATCCATCCGTGAAGATGGACCCATTTTCACCCCATCAGGAGATGCTGAGATAACTGCAGTGCTCACATGGCGAAGCACCTCGAGCAGATTATCCCAGCAAGAGAAAAGTCACTTAGCCAGCACCATGGAGAACGAGAGGAGCAGCGGGAGAAGAGAAAGTCAAAAATGGAAAGTGGTTATTAAGGGTTCAATATCTCAAGTTGGAAACTCAGGAATTTCCCAGCATGGAGGAGAGCCAGCAGCACTCCATGGTTTGTAAGCAGCTCCCATGTTGGATGAGATGAAAATTGCATTGATCAAAGCCGCCAGGAGCCATCGCAAATGCTTCAGAGGATGGGAATTGAACACGGCTCCAATTGCAAGCACTGCTGGATCAGGGCTGCAGACCATTCAGGAGGAATCCAGGAGCATCACTGAGGTACAAACACACATCTGCACAGATCCAGGGAAGGATTTGGGGTCAGTCCGGATGGCTCTGCAGCCAAAACCACAAAATTCAGCTGCTTGGTTATAGTAAATAAGGGAAGCAAGGAATTCCCTATGCTGGCTGGTCTGGGGGCTGCACTTCCAAGAAAGAAAAAGGACTTTGCCATGATACAGGGAGCAATAAAAATGATGGAGGACTTGACCTGCAAGGAAGGGTTAAGTGAGAGAAGCACACTCTGTCTTGAGGAAACCCATCCCACAGGAGCCCTCCTCCTGTGAGTGCATGTGCCAGGGAACATCATTAGGGCTGTGGATAAATCAGCCAGGGATGTAGCCAGGGATGGGCTGGACAGGGACAGATTCATCAGCACCATGGTGACGTGGCTGGTGGGATGGAGAGGTCATTCTGCTTGGAGACACTCTGGGAGCCTCTCTAAGCTTTTGCTGTGGATAATGCGGATGAAAGATTTTCTTCAAATGCCTAGAGAAATGATAGCCTTAAAAAAAAAATTAAGATAATAGAATTCCATTCCCTTTAGCCATTTTCCTCTTTAGGAGTGAAAGTGTCTGTTGTGGAGCAGCACAGTGAAGCATCCTTGCTGGAAAGGGCTTTCCTGTACCTGAAGCACCACAGCATTGCCAGACTCCCCCATGGTGGAGGTATCAAAGTGAGTTGTAAGAGGGTTGTAGGGGCCACAGCAGGGCAGGAGCAGGGAGAAGGAACTCGATTCCCCAGGGGAACAAGACTGTGGGATTCACAAAGGCTCAAAAGGATCAATATTAGTGAGTTACCCCCAAAAAACCACAACCTGTCTCAGGATCCTTAATCCCAATCCTCCCCACATACCTCAAGCAGTTGATATCTTTTCAAGAAAAAGGAAAAAACCCTGTATTTCTTCCCTTTCCCAGTAGCAAATTCTGCCTCCCCAAATTCCTCCCCCTTTAATTGCAGTCCCTTCCCTGCTCTGCAGGAGCCCAGCAACTGCAGGGATCACCCTTGGAAGGGTTCCAGTCCAGGGCACTGCCTACAGCTCCACAATGTTATGTACTCCTCTGACACAGAGAAACTTTGTGGGTGAACAGATGGCACCTCAGATTGGAGCACTGCAAAATCAAGCACTGATGAGAAGAAATAAAAATCAGCAAAGAGACTTTTTTTCCTATATTCCTATAGCGCAGCGCTGTTGTAAATCAGTTATGTAACGAGGCATAATAAAGATCTGTAGATTATCTGTAGTTGTGCAACCTGCTGAATACCTGTATGAGAGCTCAGGTGATCCAGCAAAACACACAAATCCTCTCCTTGTTTCCTTGATGTGTGCTTTGGGCACTTCCCAGCACGGAGGGGTCCGGAGCATCCCTGTGCTAAAGCTCCATGATAGGCTGGTTCAAAGGCCTGGAGTGTATCTGGGGGGAGTTGAAGCCTCAGTTTCCAGCAGGCTGAAGAACACAGCAGCTCTTTCCTCTCTCCTGGGCTCTTTTCCCACCAAAAGACAGGTTTGAGGGCACTGCTGCCATGCCAGGCAGCTTGGGCAGGCAGCCGAGCAGCGACGCATCGCTGAATACCAATGCTTAATGCAGCCTTCCCTCTATTAAAAAATACTCCATCTGCAAGACTATGAACAAGACAGCCAGAGCAGATAACTTTAAATCCTAATTTATCCTGGGGACTATCTCTTTGCCATCACTGCTGCTGCCCGGGTGATGTATAAATTCCAGAGGCTGCCAGCAAGGTGGGATGTGGGGCCGTGCCATTCCTCTGCCATGCTCGTGCTCCCATCCGCAGTGGGATGGGAGCTGCTGGGTGGATGGGGGAGAAAATGAAACAAACTCCATATGGATGGAGACTTTACCCCTGCTGCTGCCCCAGCCCCGAAGCCCCGATCCCGTACTCACTGGTGCAGGCGGCGGCCGGCGGGTCGAAGTCTGCCCGGTAGTAGCCATTGCGGCAAGCACAGACCGCAGAGGCCTCGGCGCTGGAGCGGCTGTTCGGGGGACACGGCACACACAGCCCCGAGCCCTGGCTGGCCTTGAACGTCCCTGCAGGGCAGGCTGCAAGAGAGAGCAGAGCAGGTGGGTCCTGAGCTGATCCAGGATGCAGGGGAAAGCAGGTCCTGTCCTTGGAGAGAGGACAGGACAAAGAAGAGGAGAGGATAAAAGAAGGGGAGAGAATAAAAGAAAAGGGAAGAGAAGGAAGAGGGAGAAGAGAGGGAAACAAAGAGAGAGAGGAGAAGGAAAAGGGAGAGGAAGAGGAGACACAGAAAAGCTTCACACTTGTATCAGTGCTAAATGGGGTAGCACCTTTCCATGAATCTAGGATGGCCACAATTTTCCACGTTGGCTATGGATCATTCCTGAAGCCATTAGACAAACACTGCAGCTATCTCTAGCCAGGCAGAGCAAGGGGGCTGCAGTAGCTGCTTTGCTCCCTACTGCTCATACCCAGGCAGTGGGAATGCAGGGGGCTATGGGACCCCCATCCCCAGCAGCACCCACGGGGACATGGACAAGCAGGGGCAGGACAGTGCTCCTCTTCTGCTGATCGGTCCCTCTCCACTACTCCCAACAGACTGGCTCAGGTCCCACAGCTCTTTTTCCATGCAAAATTTAAATATTTAATTAAAAAGTCGGTGTGACACCCATGACAGTGTGTTATGGGTCCATCCTGTTAATCTCTCTCAGCCTGGGGCTGGAGCTTCCCAGCCTCTGAGTTCATTCAAGCAGGAAATGGCAACTAATTCATAACGGAGAAGATGTTCCAGTTACAGTGAGGGTTTAATCAGCCACAGGGGAGGTTTCATTAATCAACCATCTCGCTGCTCTGCGGAGGGAGGGCGAGGATGGAGTGACAGGGATGGGGTCCCCATCTCCGCCCCACCCCACCCATCCTCAGCAATGGGCACTGATGAATGGATGCTCATCCATCCCTGACATCTCACAAAATCTGACAGAACCAAAGGCTGCAGAAGGGAATATCTGTATTTTGGCACCAAGGGATCAGACTTCCATGCAGCCCAGGAGAGACTGTTGCTGCCTGGGATCACACCAGGGTGATTCCAGCCCCACTCAGCTCCTGGCTCTGCCCCTGCCATGCCATCCCCCTCAAGGCACAGCTCTGCAGAGAAACACCCAACGTGTCTCATAAACACGGCGATGATTGAGATAATGGAAAGTGCCTCTTAGCCCCTGTCTGCTGCATCAGGATATGAGGCATCGCCTAGCAGCCATGAAGAGGAAATTAATAGGAGCAAGCAGGAGTAACCACTTTGATGCAATTTCCTTGGGAGATAGTGGACCATCTAATCTTTATTGGAGCCCTTTAACCTGTCATTCAAAACTCATGAAGGCCTCCTGCTCACACAGCCTTTCCAGATATTAATAGATGATAGAAAAGAATAAATCAAAACAATATTTTACAATTTTATTATTCAGAAGATTTCCTCCCCCCTAGCCTGAGGCACACAACTGGCTGCAATGAACTGTCTCATTCCAGTGGCCCTGACAGCTGGCTGAGGACGTGGCATTCCAGAGGAACCAGCCCCCATCTCTCAGTGCCCTTCCTCTTCCCCATCATGGGAAGAACACCCATCCCATGACTGTGGCATCTTAAGGAAACACACAGGGCCATAACCCACCACCTCATGCAGTGGGCAGTGAGACACATGGAGTCACCATGCAGTCCAGAGGGTTTGAGGGGCACCCTCAGGATGCTCCACAGCAGAAGGCAGAGGGATGCAGACCCTTCCCTGATCCACACACACAGCCCTATTCCTGTAACAGCACAAGGAGCAGAGTTACACAAACACACAGGGCAGGAGACGAAACCACAAAACCACAAAACCACAAATGGACACGAAGGCTTCAAGTGTATCTCCAGCTCCTCACCTCTCCCTTCCCACCATCACCTCCCCACCATGTCCCAGCAGCCCTGTGCTCCCACAGGAAGGCTGAGCATCCATGAGACATGCAAAGGGGAACCTGTGAATTCTGGAGCTGAAGGATGTGTCAGAACACACCTGAAACATGCCAGATCCTTTGGAGGGGCAGGAAGGGGAAGGCAGTGGTACTAGGGAGCATCCACCTGAGTTTTAATGGAAGAGGATGGAGGAGGGAAGGAGGACAATGAGAGGATTGCAGTACTATGAACAAGCCTCAGTTTTAAGCTTGAGGGCATGTTGATGGGTTGGTTGAAGAGGTTTGTTAATGTTTAATTACAATTAATCCAAGTGATGCTTTGTCAAAACACCTGAACATGGCACCCTGCACCCCAGTGTCCACAGGTTTCCGTTATCACTTCGCTTATCCACAAATTCCTGTAATCTGCAGGCACGTGGCTCTTAATTGCTATTATTACCAATTAGCTTTTCTCTCCTGTAATTACACTGTGCTTGCCTAAAGCCTCCCACATTTTCAGGGAGGTGGATGCCTTCTCCTCCCTCTCAAATATGCCGTGGGTGCAGCACGATACTCCGGCTGCTGCCCGTGTGTCCCCTCTTTCTGGGAGAGCTGAACCATGAACCTCAGACTGAAAACCCAGCACAAAGCCCCAGGGCCCTGCAATGCCATGGTGGGATCCATAATCCTTCACATGGCAAACCTACAGCCCAAGTGCAAGGCTCAGATGGAGGACTCGAGCCCAGGAGGGAGCAATAAATCACCCCACTAATGGCCAGTGCAACATTTGCCTTAATTTAAGGGCTGCTCCAAGAGCTTCCAAGAGCTTCCCAGAGCTGGCAAAGCCTGCATCCATGGCAGTGTGTCAGACAAGTGCAGGATGAGGCTCTGCCTCAGCTTTCCCTGTGGGAAGAGGATCTTTCTGCCAGTGCCCAGCCTACAGCACAAGCCGCATCTCTTCAGCCCGGAGAAGAATTAATTGATTGTTGATTATGGGGGCTGGATAAGATTAATGATGTGCTTAACTATCCATTTCCTCACATTTAGGCACCAGGGGTGTGTTTGTAAATGCTGAGGCACAGAACTTCTCTGTGCTGCTCGGCAGGGAGGATGCTCAGCACTTAACCCCCCCCAGAATCTAAAGCTGCCCACAGATCCATCATCCTGCCTGCACTCCAGGAATGCTGCACGTCCCAGGTGTAAGTTTGCCAGCAGGACACCTTTTCCAGGGCTGACATGTCTGGGGGTGGGAGAGAACATCGTTGAGGAGCTGAAATTCAGGCTTCTTGCAGCAAGATGTCATCAGTGGAAGTCTGGGGGGGAAAATAGCTGCAAGCTGCCATCATCACATCCAAGGGGTGATTGTAAGGATGTGGCCACAGGGCAGTGACACAACTGGGGACTCCCAGCCAGAGCTGAACCTCTCCTACCCCCCCGGAAGGCTCAGAAGAGGGATGTGGCACATGTCTCACACAAGGCAAACACCCAGGGAAGGCACCACAAAGCTGTGGCCCCACTGCCACCTCCCTCTGCAGCTCCCAGAATCACAGAATCTGGGAATTACAGAATCTGGGAATCACAGAACCTCAGAATCTGAAAATCATGTAATCACAGAACCACAGAATTTGAGAATGCCAAAACCACAGAATCACAGAACCACCAAATATGCAGAGTTGGAAGAAATCCCCAAGGATCATCAATCCAGCTCTTGGCCCTGCACAGACACTCCAACAATCCCACTCTGTGCACCTCTGACAGCATTGTCCAAATGCTTCAGGAGCTCTGGCAGCCTTGGGGCTGTGCCCATTTCCTGGGGAGCCTGGGCAGTGCCCAGCAGCAGGATGGATTATGGAAGCACTTGTGGCACACAGCAGCACTGTGAGGGCTTTTTGCTGCTTAACACTCTCCTGTATCCCACATCATTGTATTCAAGGTGTCAGGAGTCAAAGAAAGAGCCAGAAATAAGCAGGATCTCTCAGCTCATCCATCCCTGCTGCTGCCCGAGGCAAGCCACCGTCACAGCCTCTGTGGAAAGGCTGCAAGTGTGGGGATATTCAAGCATGGGGGTACCCAAGCGTTTCACTCTCAAACTAAATCCTCTCAGTTAGCACCTGGAACTTGCACTTTTTAATTACTCTCTCAGGGAAGCTTAAGTCAAAAGAGAAAAAGAAGAAGAAAGGAAGAAAGAAAGGAGACATTGCCTCTATATTAACTTGGTCTAAAGCTCCCTGGGGATGCAGAGTGGCATTTTTCCTTCTCGGATTTTAAAGTAGGAGCTTCTCCAAGGAATTACAGATTCAGCAGCGATTCAGAGAGTCCTGACCTGCCCTAACCCTCTCCAGCACCCAGCAAACCAAGGCAGCAGTGCCTTATCCATCCCCTGCCCCTCTGTCCTTGCTGTGGCAGAGCTAACCCCATTTTCCAGGTATCCCCAAATTCACGCTTGTTTTGGGTTCCTTTTTGGGTCCAGCACCGAATTTCCAGGGCAATGCCCATGTCTTTAAGCACACCTGTGGCACTCTGGCACAGCAGGTGATGAAAAGCTGCATTAGAAGCAGCAGTGCTGCACGAATTGATGACCTCAAGCAAGCTGGAGGTGTGGGGAGCACTGTCAAAGACAAAGGCACTAAAGAGTCTGGATGATCCAGCCTTGCTCCAAAAAGACATGTGGAAGCATCTACCAGCACCCCTGGGAGATGGGCAGCAGGGTTTGAGGACAGCACAGGTCAGGAAAAAAGGAGAAACTGTGGCTCATTGCATTTGCAACCTGCCAGAAAGAGATTCAAGGCCCCCCTTTCTGCAAACAGTAATTTATCTTTAAAGAAAAATACTAGCTCCTCAACCCAACATCTTGTGCTTTTAATTTTTTGATGAAACCCCTCCAAAAAAGGGAGGAGATGCTTACTAGAAACCCCTTGTGCATTTTGTAGACACCATCGACACTGAATCTACCTTTAAATCCATTAAAAAATAAAACAAGAAAAAAAAAATCAGTTTTTCAGCCTTCAAACTGGTTAGCTCCAGAGATGGGTGTTTTAAAATGCTCTTCTTGTCACCCTGAGCAGCTGAGATGCCAGCTAGGACACCCTCCCAGACACTTTCAGCTGAGAGACACCATCCAGGCAAATAAAAAATAAAAATAAACACCCACACGAAAT